TGGCGTACATCGTTTCTAACTAGATAGGAAAAAGACTTAATAGATGAATGTAAAGTTTTCGGTTCCCATGTACTTTTCAAACAAAACTGGTGTTTTATCTGCTGATGCAGATCTTGTTTAAATGTTTGTAAATTGAGAGTTCTTTCCATTTTGTATAGGTCAATATCTGTTTTAAATACATCGGGCTTTGGAGTAGGAACAAATGTAAGTCCTTTTGAAAGGACTCTAATATGATCAGAGTTCAATGTCTTAGAAGATAAATTAAAAATGGGGGTCAAGTCATTCCTCTCCACACCGTCTGTCTGCCTCCTCCATCCTCCTGTGTATTATTCTCTCTCCCCTTCAGACGGGAAGCCCCTTTATTCCATTCTCCAGCTCTAGGAACCCTCTCTTTCTCTCACGAAGATGGCAGATGTCGTTGACACCACCAGCACTGAGGTCCCCGTTGCCAAGGATCTTAAGGAAAAGAAAGAAGTTGTAGAAGAGAAAGCAGAGAAGGCTGAGAATGGAAAAGGAGATGCTCCATCTAATGGAACAGAGGAAAATAGTGCAGACCACAGTGAGGAAAACACAGAAGACCCTGAAGAGGAGGATGAAGTAGAGGGTGAAGGAGAGGGTGCAGATGAAGAAGAGGAGGAGGAGGAGAAAGGTAAAGCAGAAAAGACTGAAAAAGATGACCATCCTGTAAAGCGCCCAGTAGAGGATGAGGAGGAATCTGAAACAAAAACGGAAACTAAAAAGCAAAAAACTGAAAATGGAGAATCCACAGAAGTTAAAGAATCTGCCTAAATCCCTTTCCAGACATTTTATAGCTTAAGTGACATGGTTGACTTTAAATTGTAGAGAATGTGCTTTATATCTGTACATTTTACAGAACGACTTTTTATATAATGTAAGACCCACATGCACTAGAGACCTGTAACATCACAACAAGATAGCTAAGGTTTTTTTGTAAAATGTTATTTATTGGTGCTTGTTTGTACTGGTTTGACTGCTACAATAAAAGATCTTAACTTTTGTTTTATGGCGGTTTAGCTTTGCTTTTGTACATCTTTGAAACACAGGGCACTCATGCTAGTGCAGCCGTGTGTATTCTAAAGTAAAGCTACCTTCCTGTAATATAATGGTGTTAGGATAGGAAAGTTCATATGCAATGAAGGCCAAAGATGTGGGTCTTATTTAGCCAGGGAATAACCTTACCTGGGGCATTCTGTATAGATCTTTGGATTCAAATTTGTTGCTGTTGAGAATATAGTTGTGGTGCAGGCAAAGTTTGAAAATTGCAAGGTTCAATGTGTAAATTTCTCTATCTCTAATGTGCTGTCAAAGTGTGTTATTCTGCTGAAATTTTGAGGCATTGAGGGTTAGTCTCCATACCATTTTATGACTAGGTTATACAAACTATACCTCATTAGTTGATGCTCGAACACTACTTTGTATATTCAGGTTAAGTACTATAAATAAAGCTTGGGATGAGTACCTATATTTTTTACCCCTCTGTTCTCATCTAGTGATTTTGGATCTCTTAAATCTCTTCTTCTCCTTGTATTGAATCCCGGTGGATCGTTGGTTTGTTGATTTTGAGGGAAAAAAGGCGATCTTGTAGATTGTCCAGGTAATGACCCTTGCACATCTTGGGGTACTCCCGCCCCTTCAGTTTCCGATGTAGAGTCAGCAGAACTAGTATCTATCGATAAAAATTGAGGTTTACGAACCTTCTGTTTATATCTAGAAAAGTTAGGTTTACGTCGCTCCCCACATAACCAATGATAAACCTGATGGTGAGTATAGTCAAAATTAACACGTTCCAATTTTTGTTTTTTAAATCTGATTAGATCATTTCTGTATCTAGTGATTTCGTCCTGTAGTTTGACCATATATTGAGTGGAGGTAGCAGCTGTAAGAATAGAAGTATGCGACATTTCAAATTTATTGATAGAATCCTTAGTAAAAATTAATTCATTCCTCACTTCCTCAACTACTATCAGCATCCAATCTAGTGAGCATTTATTCGCAATTCCAACCCATTTTTTGCAAAATTCTGGGTTTTGACGTCCAATCGTGGGTGAATTACGGACTCTAAAGCCTCTGGGAATGCGTTGACGTCATCATTCCGTTACGGAACCTACACGCCACTATCTAATTATCTTACAGCGTATACACATGGTTTTGAGGCTGCACACCTATCCTAGGGTAAGTGATTACCCCTTAATTATCTTTTGCTATAAATGCCACTGTCTCACTTTGTTATGCATCTTGATAAAGACCTGCGGGTCGAAACGTTGATTTTGTTTATACATTGATAAACCCTATTCAAACAAGTCCTCTGGAGTGCTCTTCTTATTATCATTTTTTTATTTATATATATATATATATACCAGTGATTGATAACAAATGTCAAGGAAACCTTGAGCGGAAGGGGAGAAGAGGACCCTTCCCAAATAAGTTGACTCTAATATTTAGGCCTAGGTTAATGTCCTTACTGAACCGACCAAAAAGATGAATAACCCTTACACACTCAAAACAATTTTATGTAAAGGGTTACACCAATCTTTTTTTTTTTTCTTTTTTACTTTATAACACCCTATCGAGCACTAGTTAATTGGTCCACCATTTTTCTTATTGTTAAAAATAAATATCACACTTACCTGGTATCCAGTGCTGTGCAAGTGTCTTTCACACTCTGTCCATCATTACCCTGTGTCACTCTCCTCCTCTCCGTGGTCCAAACAAATGCTCCTCATAGAGAAACATTTAATTGAACCATTATAACCAGCTGAGAGTGCATGTGCATGTTCTGAGCCCATGAGGGAGGAAAGGATGGTAATAAGGAGAAAAAAAAACAACAACCTGACCCCCACCACAAAGTACAGATCTCTCTGCAAGTTCAGTGGCTCACGCAGAAACGCTGCACATACAGATTCCTACCTCCATAATCACTCCTAGATGTCGGAGTAACCCTTCAATTCTTTAAAAAGGTATAAGAAACCTATTGTAGAGAGGGAGTGCAAACAAAGAGATGGCTGCTCAATGACACTTGCCGATTAAGGGGCCCTAACAGTGGTCCCTTTTGCCCTGCAGTAAACATGGCCCTGGTATTACATCAGGTTTCTATCCTACATAATATGTAATGTTTATAATATAAAAAGGTTAATTGTTGAATTGACATGTTGCATCAGATTTATCAGTACCATGGACAGGGGCAGTTTTGCACATACAGCAGTTATTTTATCACAGTCTGCTGACTTAGCAGAGCACTCCATTGTTAGTTTTTATTTCCTGGAAGTGTAGCAAAGACATAATTTATGCAAAATGTTATACTTATTCTTTTAAAGAGGATTATAAAGGAAGTGGTTATGATGCTTGGAGTGTTCACTTAAATCCTTTTTCAATGGATTAACACTGAAGACGTTTTTCAATCAGTTTCCTCTCCTCCTGTGTTCAGGCTAATACAGAAGCATTAGCTCTAACACTGAATGGGGTGGCAATGACAGGCAGAAAATGTCAGCCTATCTCTGGCCACAAAAAGAGGAAAAACAGAATGGTCCAGGCACTCAAGGAATGTGTATCAGGAAGGTTTATTGGAAAACACAGCAACGTTTTCACCTCCACTGAGTCTTTATCACTGGCCGCAAGTCACAAGTAAAGCTTGTACGTATGTTTACTCTCAATGGGCTCCTTCGTTGCTCGAACTAACATTTCCACATTAGCCTGAGCACCATTGGAGAGGTATCACATAGAGGCCTGAGGACACTTCTTCACTCTGCGACCGTTTAAAAAACATTTTAACACTATAAAGTAATTCCAGGCTGGAATAGACCTATTCTTATTTATAATGCATATATAGATTTCAACAAAACAACTACTTAAAACTATAAAAGATAAGAAGTTCCTTAGTTTGTGCAAACCTCCATACATTCCATCATCAGCCTTGATCTGTACCCACTCCAGGAAGTACATTGGCCAATCCGAAAGCTCTCATTCAGGTCTATGGAATCTGAGCTGTTGGGCATATTTAAATTAGCATTAAAATAGTTAAATTGTAGAAGGGGAATTTGTTTGATTTAAAAGTTAGTTCAATGCAGGAGTTTCTGGGACTTTTTTTCTTCCAACTTTCTGTTTATGAAAGCAGTTAACTAAACTACAACAACATTTAAAACTGCAGGTTAGCAGAAAGAGGCAGAAAGTTGTTTTGCAAAACTGGCATGCAAAAATTACAGCCAATTAATTATATTAGCAAAATCTATAAAATGCATAAGTTATGTTGGTGCCTGGAGTATACCTTTACAAATGTAACAGGCAAATGTTTTTATGCAAGATTTAATGATTGCAATCGTATAACCTGCATTACATGTTTGTGCATTAAGTGTCATGGACAGGTTACTTGTTGGATAACAGGTTCAGTGAGGGCATTGCTTGTCGAGGGATCTAAGCATAATATTAGTAAACACATGAAAGGTTTTCTGGGGGCTGGCGGGACCGCATACATGGCAAGCTCCTGCAGAAAAACAACCCTTACACCAGCAAAAAACAACCAATTTACCCATCTGCAGTCCAGAAGCAATGGTCCTGCGGGGTAAGAGGCGCTAGTGCTGAGGCCACCCTGAAAACAAGCGATGCCACTACTGAGAGGGCACATTGGCAGAGCTGCACCTGAGGCCTACCCGGGCGGTGAGTGAGGTGGACGGCCACCGCCTCGCTATCCTGCCTTGTGGTTTCCTCGGAACTCCGATGCCACATGGTAAAGGCCTCCCCTTTGGACCGGGGGGGGGGGTCATCCCGGTCCCAGGAGACTGTCTCCGCAACCCATGACACCCGGGTCAAGGGGGAGCACCAGCTACCAAAGTGGCGGGCGAACCTGAAATGGCGGCACAGCTGGAGACCGCCAAGGCATTGTGGAGCGGAGCTCCCGATACGGCACTGATGCTGGAGGGATGGAGAGACTTCTCACCGCAACCAAGCTACTACCTAACCTACAAACGCGGAAGACCCCAGCCCCTGCAGCACTAAGCAGTCGGATTCCGCTGCCTGGTCACTCAACAGGCACAGCCGCGAACCCTGCCGACCAGCGAGACACCCCTGCGCTCCTGCAGCCTTCAGAGGAAGATCAAGCAAAAGCGAGTGATCACACACAGGGAGCGCACACACCACGTTGGACTCATTCCTTCCATGCCAGGGGCAGTGCAAGTCGGAGGTTGGTTAAGCCTAGACTGCACAGGGACTCTCTTGGTGCCTGGGCTGCACGTGGTGGGGCAGACTCCTGCCAATCTTGCCATCTAAGCAACATAACGTACTCTCTCTCAGTGACACTCCATATGCTAGCGAGCTACTATGTTTATTTACCAAGCATACAGGGCCTATTAGTGCAGCCAATCGTTAACACCTTGTACTCTGCTCATCAGATAAGCACTCAGAAACCCAGTTTATTATTAACAGCATAATGATGCCTCAACCAGCTTGATAACCTATTGGTCTACTCAATTTCCTCCTAATACCTTTATGTCCATGCTAAGATTCCTTTATTTTACCCATAGAAGTTACACTGCATCTGAGCAATAGGTTAGCATGTGCCTGTTAAGCCTTAAGTGTTAAAGCTCAAATGTAGTACATAATGCTGTATATGCTAGTCAAATGTTATGCAGAGAGGCATGTATACTCAGCGAATTTCCAGATCGATATCACAACCTGTGTAACCAGTTTACACTACTCAGTGAACACCTATGCCTAATGTACTTTATCTGGTTTTACAATGCTTACTTCCCGTTTAAAAACAAAGTAGTGCAAGATATTGCCATGCCTATGTACCAATGTATATGACAATGTTTTGACTGCGGACGCTGTCATGGCATCGCAAACCTGGTTGTAACTACCTGCACTGTAAAAAAAAAGAATAAAAAAAAAAAAAGAAAGGGTTTTCTGAGGACAGATAGATTCTGGCTTAAACTGGATCTTGTTCAGCACATCTACTGCAAATGAGCAAACTAACCAAAATAGATGTAATATGCACATCTAAAAAAAAAAAACCACTAGTGCGAACAAATGGGATGTTTTACCTTTTTCTCAAACAGGCTGAATATTGTAAAGATTCCTCACAACACAGCAAACACTTCTACAATATGCCACAATTCCAACAAAGAACCACACTTCATAATCTGTAAGCTCCATATCATATCCACAAGGTAGTTCCTTAAAAGTATTAATATGCAACATGGTACCAAAAAAAAAAAAATTACACACAGACCTCATAACTAACTTGCGATCTAGATAAAATTCTCGATAAACTCACAAAAGCATACAAAAGATTTTTTTTTAAAATGAACTGTTGGTAAAGCGTTAGGGTAAACGTGAAACGTGTCCAGAACCCGCCTAGGCTTCGTGATCTTTTCCCTCCTTCTCACAGGTACTGGGATCAGGGACTTTGAAAAAATGTTTTACATTTTTTTTTATTTTGTAAATTTAACTAGGATTTTATCTAGATCACAAGTTACATAATGAGGTCCATGTGTATTTTTTGTACCATGTTGCATTTTATTCAGTAAACTGAGTACTTTTAAGGATCCACCTTGTGGAGATGATTTGGAACTTACTCAGTGATTACTAAGTGTAGTTCTTTTTTGGAATTGTGGTGAAGATGCAGTTTGGAACTATGGAATGAGCAACAGAAGCCCAGCAGTGAATCTATCAGCTACAGTAAGTAACCACTGTGCACTTTTTCTTCCTCACCCCCTCCCTCCCTTTATCAGAGTTACGGCATAAAGGCAACAGGCAGAGGAGATGTTTGACTTTTCTGTGTGTTTTTCATTTGGTTTTACTTCTGGAATATGCTAAACATAAAATGTGAAATTCTACAGACACGAATAAAACAGAACTCGTAGAGTAGTATTTAAAAGACACGATGTGGTCATACCCACAAGTGGTAGAATTTTTTTTCTGTGAGTGTATAACATGAATAATCTGTTTTGTCATGTATACAATCTATTGTTTTTATGGTAATGTGGCTGATGTTATGAACTAAAATTTTATTTTTTGTAAATATGATTTGTCGATAATGCAAATAAACGCAAGCATAAAGAGTTGGTAGAGAGACACGCAGGTCTCAGGCATATTTTCATATATCAATGCATCTGGTGTGACACCATATTCCTACGGGCTCGCAGGCCACATTATCAGTGGGTCGCTGTTTGGCTCGCAGGCCTCCTTCGTCCCATAGCATTGTCATTACCACTGTAATTCCCCTTATCTTATACGTATTCCTGTGATCCGGGTGTTATGTACCGTTTATCAGGGTAGACAGGTTTATCTTTTTGTAAGATAGGGAACTCTGTCCCTGTATTCCCTAGGGTTCGTGTATTTATTAGTGCTGTCCCCTTGCGTGATTTGTGCCCTCCCTTCCGGATCTCGGGACCCTGTCTTATGGTGGGTTTCTTTCTGGCCCGGGGTGGGATTAGTCGTAGCGACCTCGGTGTCAGTTTTGTGCTTTCCACTCATGAGCATTGCTTTTTGATATGTATGTGCGTTACTTTGGCCCCTGCGGTTCGTTAGGTCTCTATTTCCTGGGGTCTCTGTCCCCTTGTCCCCGGCGTCTAGTAGTGCATGTTCATTATTGCTTTCGTCCATTTTGCATTTTTATTGCTAGTCATCATTCGGACAGTCTGTAATGTTTCGTGTGTGGCCTTGTCTAAATATTGTGTGTTTGCTTATTTGGGTTCCATGCTTATGAAGGTAGGCGGAACATGTTATTATGTTTGTTTGTTCGATCCAGTATTGGTGCGGTTGACTCCTTAGGTTTCAGTTCCTGTGTCGATCAGTGTGTGTCAGTGGGTGTCTGCATCTCAAGCTCAAGTTTAACGTGGAACCCTATGGTTTGTTGTGTCCCTTTCTCGTGTTGTGTCCTACTGTGTCCGTGGTAGGTCTTCTAATTTCTGGGGAAATTCCACTTTCGTGCATCAATTCACCTCACGTGTCTCCTCCTAATCTACAGCGGTATCACGGGTTTCACTCTATTTGGGTCTTGACCTGTGTCGTGATTGCATTTGTGTGTTGTCCCTAGTTGGGTGGGGGGGGAAAGGAGGACAGGCTGGGTAAAGTGGGGTGGGGGGTATGATTGTGCAGCTGAGGTGCATGGGTCACCCTCCCGGCGCGCCCGGGTCCCCCTCCCCCCTCCTCTCTGCAGATTCTGCTGTGTGTCCAACTGCCCATCATCGCCTACACTATGTATAGTAGCCAGGGTCTCCTCTTCCGAACAGGTCTGCTATTTTGGCTTCAGCGCTTCGTATTTCTTCCACTTCGCCTTTTCCATTGTTCCGTTGTGGGTGGGTCCTCTTTCTTCCAGTGTAGTGGAATTAGGGATTTAGCTGCGTTCAGCAGATGTCTCATGATCGATTTTTTTTGTAGGTAGACAGGGGTTGCTCCGTGTGATGTATGAGGGCTGCTTCCATTGTCAGGTGTGGGGGGTCATCCAGTATGTTTTTTATTTCATGTTCGATGTTCCCCCAATATGGCTTAATTTTCTTGCAGTCCCACCAGATGTGCCGCAGTGATCCAATGCCCTCGTTGCATCTCCAGCAGGTGTTCGGGATAGTTGGGATGTATCGGCTGAGTAAGGATGGTGTGCGATACCAGTGCGCCAGCAACTTGTAGTTTACCTCATGGAAGTGGGAGCTAGATGAGCTCTTGTGTTGCAGTATCAAGATTTCTTCCCACTGGTCGTCCAGGAAGGATTTGGCTGTCCATTCCTCCCATTGGCGTTTGTACAAGTTGTTTTTTTGATTGATTTCCTGTTATTAGGGTTTGGTATATCGCTGAGACTCTCCCGTGCTTGCGAGCATAGCGTCTCGTACAATTTGAGGTCCCTTTGAATTTTGGTCCTGTGTGGTAGGTTATAATAGTAGTGTTTCAATTGGGCGTAATGGAATTGGTGCATGAGCGTGGGAGGTCTTCCATCTGCTATTTCTCTTAGCGGTTTCACTCCTGTATTATTGAGCACAGTGTGTAAAATTGTATTCTTTATCATTCCGTGGTATGACAAACCATGTGCTGCTTTAAAAGTGCAGATTCACAAGTAACTTATTAATTTAAACTCAAAGGTTTTATACAATCATTATCTATTAGCCAAGTATTCTGTTCATACTGAGTTTACAACTTTGAAAACTGGTTTCTGGCGGACTGGCTGAAACTGTTTAATGACCCACTAATTAAAATAAAAAAAGGAGTGTTCAGAATTTGCTATTGCAGGACATGTAAGTTGTCACAGCTCCTGAATTTGTACCGAGTCAAATGTATCTTTTTATAATAAGACAACCAAGGGTATTTAATATTTTTGTTAGCAACATGTTTAAAAAGAGTGTAATACTTAATATTTGTTTGTTCACGGTGCATAGATTTGATTTATATGAATTTAAGAGACAATTGTAAACTCAAATTTTAGACAGATTAATTTACTGGGCTTGTCTAACATTTGGGCAACCATTTCAGTATCATACTGTTAGCTAAAAGATGTCTGCATGTATAACAGGGCTCCTCAGCAATAATACTCACAGTAATGTGTATTTAAATTGCAATAAATGTGTTTAGAAATCAGTCTGTGTAAATAACATACCTTGTTCTTGCTTTAAATTACATTTTAGATACATAAATTATTCTCAGAACACCTTACCATTACAGGGTCACACCCCTGAAATGAAACTGTTCCTCTCTGTCCATTTCAAATTTTGGGCGGTTTGCATTTTTGGTCATGCTTGTACATTTTATTTATTTTTAAGATACAATACATTGTGGATGTGGATATCATGCACTCTTGTGTTATGTGGATAGAGCAATGCCCCATACATATATATTTCTGCATTTTCAAAAGTTAGAAGGCCAGCTTTGGGCCTTGGTGAAAGATTTAAGTCACCACTTGGTTACTAATTTTATATGAGCATATTTAATTCATAAAAAGATCACTTAAAATGTTGCCACTCTGGTTAGGGGATAAATATGGTTGGGTTTATTTGCATTGAAGAAGCTATGAATATTAGGTGGACACTAAAGGCCCCAAGACCACTTTATCTCAATGAAGTGAAACCTGACATTTTAACCGTGCTGTGTAAAAAACACTACTGTTGTAGGAACGGCCATGCTTACACTGCAGAGTAAGACACACGTCTAGTAGCGGTCTTCCTGACAACCAGAGGTGCTTCCCCTGTGAGAACCAAGTAAGACTCTGGTTCTCAATCGAATGCTGCTCATAAAGATCATTTGATTGTGGAAGTGCTTTTCCATGCATGCACACTAACCTTCGAATGCTTTCCTATGGGGAAGCATTGGATTGGCTGAGGTCATCAATCAGATGATCTCAGTCATGGAGGCACAGCTGCAGCACATACACAGACACAGCAAAATGCTTTTTTATTGCAGATGGTGGAATCATCTAAATAGTACACTATAGAGTTAGAAATAGTGTTTCTTTAAATTCCATCAGCAGGGTACGATCCATTGCATAACCGGTGTATAAGAGGATTAGTGTGTATTCTGCTGTGACCTCATGATCTGCTACAGCACAAGATATCCAGCTGTACCCAACGCTGAAATATGTATTTTCAAAATCTTGCAACATGCATTGCTTATGTGCCAACTTAATGTTTGTCTTATAAGATTATTTAAAAAAAAAAATAACGTATGCTTCTAAGATCAGATGTTATTATTTAAAGTTTAGTGGCACTTTAACATGCTCACATGAGAGCATAATCTGAATGTTATTTGACACAGTAATGGATAACTCTGCATTCCTACATGTGTGAGTTTTCTAGTGTTCCCACTTGGCTGTCACAAAGCAAGAGACAACACCAGAATCCAGCTGCCTGCCAGAAAATGAGCCAACAACCAAAAATGGTGAGAAATACAGTTTGCTACAAACTTGAATGTGCCCTGTTTTTCACAAACCTCGTACGTGTGTTAATGAATGTGATTTGAATTTTGGAGTTACCACTGTCTTTTTTTACTAGTACATTACTAGTAGATTGAAGGTGGGTGTGATGTGGGTTCAGGACATTTGCAAATATACATAGATATATATATTTTTTTGACATAGCAGTATTATTAGAATGTGAGAGGATTCCTTCATGAGTGGGTATGATCAAAGCAATATGCATTAAATAAGACACACCACTCAGTGAGGAATGCACACTAAAGCACACCTTCTAACATTTGACATGTACAAAGAGGGACACTTTAACCCCTTAAGGACCAAACTTCTGGAATAAAAGGGAATCATGGCATGACACACATGTCATGTGTCCTTAAGGGGTTAATTTTAGGGGTGCGAGTGGGGATGTGGCCAGTGCAGAACATTTCTGTGAAATTTTATGTTAATTAACTAATATTGATTTATGCAACTAAATTATAATTTCGAGCAAGGACAATGTTTGATTTCTAAACATTTATTTTAGTTAAAGACACATTTCTGTGGAGCTCTGTTATACACTCAGACACACTAACAGTATGGAGCAACTAGAAAAGAGGGACATTAAGAAAGAAAAACAGGACGGTGGGATTTGAGACCAGGGACTGTCCCTCCTAAATAGGGATACTTGCAATGTGTGGGGATGCCCCTTAAGACTTTATATGACAAAGTGGCACATGTCTCACATTTATACTTTCCAGTGTTGGGGGGTATGTTATCCTGTTATCTTTTAGTTTTTTTCCCCCTCTCTCTTTACACCTATTTGTCCACTAAACATTTTGATTATTTTATATGCATGGACATTTTTGAAGCAAGTTGACCTGCTATAAACTCTTTCTGTATCTTGCTTGCTTTGATTTGTCTGTTTCAGGCATGATTTTTATTTTTTGTATAGATGCCACTTCTTTTAATACTTGATGAGATTTCCCTACATTTATTCATGACAGGCTCACTTTTTAACATCTCTTTAAGCAATGGCCAGGGCTTAGAATTTCACTCAAAAGCTCACAGTTGGCAAGTGAAAATGGAGTACCTGATAGTGGCTTGACTTCTCACATTGGCTCCACTCCCAGCTTCTCTGTAGTCAAAAGTGGGAGCTTCTATTAGCTTTCCTGAGTTAAGCCTCACAGTTCAAGGCCAGCTCATAAGCATAAAGTGTTAGCTGATCACTCTCAGCCAGTGACCTCAGTCCTGCACTCCTGGGCTTAGCTCAGTGAAGAGAACTTCCATCTGTAGTGAAACAGGGAGCCCGGAGGACACCAGGTGAGAAATCAAATTGAAAGTAAACAGTTTGACTATGAAGAACAAGGGAGGCTCCAGGTACTCTGCACATCATGAGCAGGTTCAAACTGGTCAATGGATACACTGGGCAAATGCCCGGTGGGCCGCGATGGCCTTGAGCTGAGGCTGACTGAGACTGGCCCCAAGTTGGTTGGCGGTTCTTGAGCGCCAGCTCAGAAAGGAGTATCCACGGCCGTCCAGAGGCCTAGAAGTTCTCCCTCCAATCAGAGGGTTGACACAGTAATGGCCCTATCACCCCTACTGCAACATTTCCATATCACAGCCCCTATCCCCCATATTACTACCCTTATCACAGCTGTTATCCCCTATATCAGTGCCCCTATCCCCCATCACAGCCATTATTCCCCCAGATAAAGACTGGCTACAGTTTTTA